TACAGTGTACTCTATCTATATAGATAGAGGCCAGGGTGGTACGGAGTACTCTATCTATATAGTGGCCAGGGGGGGACATGTACAGCATACTCTATCTATATAGTGGCCAGGGGGGTACATGTACAGCATACTCTATCTATATAGTGGCCAGGGTGGTACATGTACAGCATACTCTATCTATATAGTGGCCAGGGGGGTACAGTGTACTCTATATCTATATAGTGGCCAGGGTGGTACATGTACAGCATACTCTATCTATATAGTGGCCAGGGTTGTACAGCGTACTCTATCTATATAGGGGCCAGGCTGGTGCAGTGTACTCTATCTATATAGAGGCCAGGGGGGTACAGTGTACTCTATCTATATGATGCAGGGTTGTACAGAGTACTCTATATCTCTATCTATATAGAGGCCAGGGTGGGACAGTGTACTCTATCTATATATAGGGGCCAGGGTGGGACAGTGTACTCTATCCATGTAGGGGCCAGGGTTGTACAGTGTACTCTATATCTATATTGGGGCCAGGGAGGTACAGAGTACTCTATATCTATATCTATATAGAGGCCAGGGTGGTACAGCGTACTCTATCTATATAGAGGCCAGGGAGGTACAGTGTACTCTATCTATATAGTAGCCAGGGTTGTACAGTGTACTCTATCGATGTAGGGGCCAGGGTGGTACAGTGCACTCTATGCATGTTGGACCAGGGTGGTACAGTGTACTCTATCCATATAGGGGCCAGGGTGGTACAGTGTACTTATATAGAGCTCGAGGCCAGGGTTTTCCAGTGTACTCTATCTATATAGAGGCCAGGGAGGTACAGTGTACTCTATCTATATAGTAGCCAGGGTTGTACAGTGTACTCTATCGATGTAGGGGCCAGGGTGGTACAGTGCACTCTATGCATGTTGGACCAGGGTGGTACAGTGTACTCTATCTATGTAGGGGCCAGGGTGGTACAGTGTACTCTATCTATATAGAGGCCAGGGTGGTACAGTGTACTCTATATCTATATTGGGGCCAGGGTGGTACAGAGTACTCTATATCTATATTGGGGCCAGGGCGGTACAGTGTACTCTATCTATATAGGGGCCCGGGGGGTACAGTGTACTCTATCTATATAGAGGCCAGTGTGGTACAGCGTACTCTATCTATATAGAGGCCAGTGTTGTACAGTGTACTCTATCTATATAGTGGCTAGGGTTGTACAGTGTAGTCTATCTATATAGAGGCCAGGGTTGTACAGTGTACTATATCTATATAGAGGCCAGGGTTGTACAGTGTACTATATCTATATAGAGGCCAGGGTGGTACAGTGTACTCTATCTATATAGAGGCCAGGGTGGTACAGTGTACTTTATCTATATAGAGGCCAGGGTGGTACAGCGTATTCTATCTATATAGTGGCCAGGGTTGTACAGTGTACTCTATCTATATTGGGGCCAGGGTTGTACAGTGTACTCTATATCTATATTGGGGCCAGGGGTGTACAGTGTACTCTATCTATATTGGGGCCAGGGTTGTACAGTGTACTCTATCTATATAAAGGCCAGGGTGGTACAGAGAACTAATACAAAGGGCAATCAAATATGTTCATTGAATTGATACACTAGTGACTATATAGTGGCCAGGGTGGTACAGCGTACTCTATCTATATAGAGGCCAGGGTTGTACACTGTACTCTATCTATATAGAGGCCAGGTTTGTACAGTGTACTCTATCTATATAGAGGCCAGGGTGGTACAGAGAACTAATACAAAGGGAAATCAAATATGTTCATTGAATTGATACACTAGTGACTTTTATCATTAATCCTGTGATCAATTCTGCCTGATCTACTGCATCACTTGTTCTTTAATGTCGAAATAATATGAGTGGTAAAATGAAAATATCTATTCAGATATTATCTGCTCTTAATTGCTTAATTAGGTACTATACCAAGTTCAAAATAATTGATTCATAAACATAGAATTATGTTATAAAATAAATTCACACTTTAAAGGGTGCACACAGTACATCAAAACAACCTTATTAGCTTGGCTACAGGGATTACTCTTTAACAAAGCAGAAGCAGATATACCTGACCAGAAAATATTGGATAGCGCACATGGATTTGATCCACTATATATACAGTTAAAAATAAATGTTTTCCCCTGCTTTATCATGATGAAAATGTACAATAATAAGAGACAGTGATGTCACCATATACAATGTACATATATATATGTAACACTTATATAGACTGTGTGCTGGTCGCCTGGCAACTGCCTCACCTTTACAGCTGATTATGATTACTTATAATACCTGGTATAGCACCCAGGTCCCACCCTCCCTACACAGGTGTGACATGTTGTGCATTACCTATAGCTAGATAGTCATAGGGACCATATGTATTACAGGTTTGTTTTGTTTGTTTGTTTGATTTTGTTTAACGTCCTATTAACAGCTAAGGGCATTTAAGGACGGCCTCCCCTGTGTGCAAGATGCATGCGTGTAGTGTATGTGTGTGTATTTTGGGAGGCTGCGATATGTTCGTGTTTGTCTCCTTGTGATAGCGCGGAACTGATGCCGACTTTATAGTGCTACCTCACTGAAACATACTGCCGAAGACACCCAGCAGGACGCCCCACCCAGTCACATTATACTGACAACGGGCGAACCAGTCGTCCCACTCCTAATTTGCTGAGCGTTAAGCAGGAGTAGAAACTACCATTTTTAAAGACTTTGGTATGTCTCGATTACAGGTAACATGAATGATGATGTTATAAAAAAAAATGTACTAATGTTAACTGTTACAAGTTAGCTATAGCGGAATAATCTTTTATTGGAGTGGGTTGTTGGGATAAGTATTTTATGCCTAAATTGAAGTATTCATCCAGAGAGGATTTTTATGAAGAATTAACATTTTATATAGCACTTGTACAGGTGTAGATTTTACAGGTACAAGCATATACGTACATGTATGCAAGTGTACATTTATTATTGATATAATGGTTAAGGCAGTGGTTTTGTTACCTAAATTTAAAACAGCCTATTCCTTTATAAATTGGGAAAATATAACATTATTTGTACGGAAATTGAGAATATATTCCTCAGTTTTATTGTTATTTTGGAAAAATAAAGCACTTTTTAGTTAGGGGAAACAGCCTGTATTTGGTAGTAAAACCGAGCAAAAAAATTATGGTTAGGGTACTGGACAGGTACGTATCACGATCCTATATACAGATGTACACTGTACAGGCATGCATACAGGTGTATACTGCACAGGTATTATACAGATGTACACTGTACAGGTGTACACTATACAGGTAATTATATATATAACCTATATACAAGCATATACTGTACAGGTGATTATACAGGTATGTATATATACAGATGTACACTATACAGGTAACCTATATATGCAGATGTACACTGCACAGGTAACATTAAGACAGGTGTATGCTGTACAGGTAACATCTATACAGGTGTACACAGTACAGATAATATATATGTATACAGGTGTATACTGTACAGGTAACCTACATATCAGATTACAAACACTGTACATAGGTTATATAATAATTAACACTTTTTATCATTAACAACATTTAAATTGATAATTATTACTTAAAAAGACATATTTATATTAGGGCAAAACAACTCTGGGCAAAATGGATCTAGAGTGAATTAAACATCGTGATTTAAAAAGTAAGTGATTATATTATATTATATTTACATTCTGTATGCTTAGACCCATTGACAAAAATTACATTAATAAATGCATAACGCAGGTGTTCATAGAATCTCAGCACGTGGGAACTGATAGTAACCTGATCACACTGCGTAGTAATACACTACAAAAACTACTCACTCGGAACGACCGACCTAGATGCTTAATTCTTACAACTTAAAATATTATTGAACTGTTCTTTGTGAAATATCCACGTATTCACGTGTCCTGTGCTACAAATAAACATTGAATATGGAACTAAAGCTTGCTGTGTTATTGTTGTTGACGGTTGCTAAGATCTCTCACGATAGTGTCACATTGCCCCGCGAAAAAACACTGTTCTCGCCGCTGCGTTGCACCCGTGTATAAGCAGGAACAACCCCTGTATATTTGTTTTATTCGTTGTTATATCGATCCACTGAAAGGATTCGTCAATGTAAATATAAGGAATGATATTTATTTTTTCAACATTTTTGAAGGCAAAACAACAATTGGTTTATGGACATATTGAATGAATCGCGATAGCGATTCATGTAAAACATGTCCAAAAACCCATTGTTGTTATTACCTCATAAATGTTGAAAAAATAAAAATCATTCCTTAAGTAATTGTTCTTTGTCATTTATTTTTTTAAATGTTTTGTGTCATATTGTCTCATTCCGTAGTTTGTATCTTGCATTCTTTATTTTTGAAGATATCATATACATACAGTTTTATCATATATTATGTCATTTATGACATCACTGTTGCCTTATATTAATTCTTGCAAAAATTAAAGCACCAGTTAATTATAAAATACCTGTGATTTTTGGGACAGTGTACAGGATTCTTGCCTTTCCTCTGGCAACCATCAACATTTTGAGGATTCATTTTAACTCTTGGTAATAAAATCGGGCCTTTCAACACAATGTGAAATTATTCAATAGTGTACTTATCGACATTGCATAGGTGTAGCTTAAATAGTTCTTGTACGTGTATACGTATTGGACAACAGGGGCACGGTTCTATTTATATATGCACGGTTCAATTTATATCTGAGGCCTCCTTGTTTACCATACATAATTGGTAAACAATGAGGCCTCAGATATAAATTGAACCGTGCCCCTGTGATTGGACTCCTCATATTTACAATGACAACAACTTCGCGCGTGACAGTACCACGCTTACCTGTATCAACATCATTTTTACGCAGGATTTGAATAACCTTTTAAATAAATGACAGTGACAATAATATGTCAGTATCGTTATCAGGATATGAAATAATGTAAGATAAATACAAACGTACAGAACTCTCCCAGAACAGTGATCACAGTTGTCGCCTTTCCAGCCGTAATTGCATCGACAGGTGCCATTTACACAACTTCCTTCTACACATTGAATACCATCACAGGTCACAGATTCAGATAAAGCTCGAGAACAAATGTTTGAGAATATTCCTATCCACACGAGACACATCAAAAATGTCAGATTTACTTTCTTTCTGGCTGAATAGCCTCTAGACTTCATTTTTGGTCTGTCAGCCATGGTTGATAAATATAACACTTCCGTACTTTAACGACTGTACCGGATATTCAACTTCGGCCTTTTCCGTACGTGCTTACTAATTTCCGTATCCAGATCTAGAATCGTAAGGTTTAGTCCGGATTCCAAATGATCGCATTTGCCACTTCAACATTTTGATCTATAGAAATATATTAACACTTAAAAAATCGCAAAGATGTTGTTTAAAAGAACAAAAATTAGTTATGAACTGTACAATTACATTAATAATTATAGTTCTTCATCAATAGTTAATCAGGTACATAATTTGATGCTAAGTGTGACTAGCCTAAAACTGACAATCCCGTTTTATTAGTTTAATTTATGAGGCGGAGATCTCCTCTTCGTCCTCCCATAAAAAAAATCAAAATGAGAAATTGAAAAAGGAATATAGCAATTTGCTGCATCTTATACTGATTCATACGGAGCAGGAAATGCCGATGATAGCGTCTTCTCGCTTTTGCAGGTAACCTGTTGTGATTTGTTTGTGCGAAAGGTCATTAAAATAAGTATGGTAAAAGAAAAAAAAAAAGAGTTGCTAAATAATATAAGCCTATATATCTACTAAATTAAGGTGATTTTTTCCGAGTTCCTTACATTGAGGTATCTTATTTGTAAAGCGAGAAGACAGTCTCATCGGTATTCCCTGCTCCGTAGCAGTATGTGGCACCCTAATAATTAAGTTTAGCAAATTCAAAAGGTCCCCGGGGCCTGTGCTCCAACCTACTTAATTAGTGTCGCCCACCAGAGGTGTACGACAGGGTTCACTATTTTATCAAAATAGTTATCTATGTTGTACGCTATATTGTTTAAAGTAAGATCTGCTGTAAATTATGAGCTCAATAAGTACCTCATGTAGCTTAAATCTTAAACACGAAAAATGCTAATATTTTCATGTTGACCGCACTTCCAGTTCTCCTTCACCAAAAATACATTTTTTAATATATTATGTTGAGAGAGTATTTGAACATTTCAGAAAAATCGGGAACTGGTAAAGTTGTCATCTTAAGGCCAAATTGTAGTAAGGTTTATCAAAAAATATAAAAAATATAAATATATATTTATGTTAATTTTGAGCTCAGTAACATTTGTTGATGTCTCCAAAAATATGCAATCTGTTCAAGCTAAATTTTTAGCATTTTTATGTATATTTTTAGCTATTTCAAATCTTTACGAAAGTGTAATACACATGCAATGGGTATTATTTGGCACATTATGTTGGCTGAATATAGTGAACATTTAAAAAAATGTTGTAGCATCTAAATTTATCATGCAGTCATGATGCGAACAAGTTTGCCAATAACAGGACATTTGAAGGTTTTTTTCGTCAACAAAATCCACTTCTTTAAACGTCATTGGTTTGCCTCCACAACCCAATGAGTTTTGATACATTGGCGATGTGCATTCGCCTTGGATGCATCTACTTGTGATTTCTTAGCGAGAAGGAAGGATGGCATTTAAAAATTATACCCCGACTCGTTTTTATTGGTTTGGTTTGGTTTTATTTTGTTTAACGTCCTATTAACAGCTACGGTAATTTAAGGACGTGCCTCCATGTGTGTAGTGTATGCGTGCTTGCGTGTGTGTGCCGGAGGCAGTGTATGTCGGTGTGCTTGCCTTCTTGTGATAGCGCGGATCTGATGCCGACTTTATAGTGCTACTTCACTGAAACACCATGCCGAATGCACCCAGCACAGGATTCCGCTCGGTCACATTATACTGACAACGGGTGAACCAGTTTTTGCCATTCCCCAAAATTCTGAACGTTAAGCAGGGAATAACAACTACTATTTTAAGGCCTTTGGTATGGCCCAGCCTGGGGGCAAAACCCATTACCTTCCTCACCTCGGCGAACGCTTAACGTTAAAGCCAAAACTGAGGTATTGCCAAGCGAGGCACCAGGGGAAAAGGTTATTAGAAGTAGAAAGGAATATAAATATCCCAAATATTGCAATGGGTGCAGCAGAGATATTTTGATCGCTTTGGGGACACAAAAGTAAATCACACATTAGTCGCCTCTTACGATACATGCAGTGGGTAACAGCAGGTGTATGCTTTTCTCGATCCCCGACCTGCAGGGATGACTCGGCTATATAATATCGAGAACTTTCCTTAAACCAGGATCGACGATGACATTGTAAAATTCAAAGTCAAGACGTGAGGAGGTTAAAGTTGTCAATAATCAATTTAGTAAAGTGATGCATCATCGATGCTTCCATAATATGATTAATATCTGACAGTAATAAGCTTGTGAAAATATCTGGAAAATGAGGCTGTGGAAAAGAAATTTAAGGGTTTCAAAAAAGTTGTCAAATAACTCATCCAGTAGAGATTATTTCACCGAATCAAAAATATGGTTTTAATCAGATTATTATTGTGAGGCTCAAATTGTATACTTAACAATCTTGAATTGACAGAAATAATAACATGTTTCCCCAAGGAGTTTTTCGTTTGTATTTCAACGGTCAAACAGTTGTTCGATTTTATTTTATGATGAAGGATATATTTGTTCTATAATAGTGCAATTATTGCGAGGAACTATTAAAGTACAAACTTTAAAAGCCATGCTTTTGGGATAAATAAACATGATGCAATTTTAACCAAAATAAAAAAATAAAAAATAAAAAATAGGGTTGTGGTCGGGTTGAATTGCATGTTCCATTTTTTGTTGATATTGTATGTGTTTGGGATTCAGAAATTATGCATTTTGCATCATCAACCAAGCTATACACCACGATATACTGAACAAGTCAACGGTAACCATTGCATCCGTTATAATTGCCCCACGATAGACTGAACAAGTCAACGGTAACCGTTGCACCGTTATAACTGCCCCACAATACACTGAACAAGTCAACGGTAACCATTGCATCCGTTATAACTGCCCCACGATACACTGAACATGTCAACGGTACACTGAACAAGTCAACGGTAACCATTGCATCCGTTATAACTGCCCCACGATACACTGAACATGTCAACGGTACACTGAACAAGTCAACGGTAACCATTACATCCGTTATAACTGCCCCACGATACACTGAACAGGTCAACGGTAACCATTGCACCGTTATAACGGCCCCACAATACACTGAACAAGTCAACGGTAACCATTACACCGATATAACTGCCCCACAATACACTGAACAAGTCACCGGTAACCATTGCATCCGTTATAACTGCCCCACAATACACTGAACAAGTCAACGGTAACCATTGCACCGTTATAACTGCCCCACAATACACTGAACAAGTCAACGGTAACCATTGCACCGTTTTAACTGCCCCACAATACACTGAACAAGTCAACGGTAACCATTGCATCCGTTATAACTGCCCCACGATTCACTGAACAAGTCAACGGTAACCATTGCATCCGTTATAACAGCCCCACGATACACTGAACAGGTCAACGGTAAACATTGCATCCGTTATAACTGCCCCACGATATACTGAACAAGTCAACGGTACCCATTGCACCGTTATAACTGCCCCACGATACACTGAACAAGTCAACGGTAACCATTGCATCCGTTATAACAGCCCCACGATACACTGAACAGGTCAACGGTAACCATTGCATCCGTTATAACTGCCCCACGATATACTGAACAAGTCAACCGTAACCATTGCATCCATTATAACTGCCCCACGATTCACTGAACAAGTCAACGGTAACCATTGCATCCGTTATAACTGCCCCACGATTCACTGAACAAGTCAACGGAAACCATTGCATCCGTTATAACTGCCCCACGATATACTGAACAAGTCAACCGTAACCATTGCATCCGTTATAACTGCCCCACGATACACTGAACAAGTCAACGGTAACTATTGCACCGTAATAACTGCCCCACGATACACTGAACAGGTCAACGGTAACCATTGAACCGTTATAACTGCCCCACGATATACTGAACAAGTCAACGGTAACCATTGCACAGTTATAACTGCCCCACGATACACTGAACAAGTCAACGGTAACCATTGCCCCGTTATAACTGCCCCACGATACACTGAACAAGACAACGTTAACCATTGCATCTGTTATAACTGCCCCACGATATACTGAACAAGTAAACGGTAACCATTGCATCCGTTATAACTGCCCCACGATACACTGAACAGGTCAACGGTAACCATTGCATCCGTTATTACTGCCCAACGATATACTGAACAAGTCAACGGTAACCATTGCATCCGTTATAACTGCCCCACGATACACTGAACAAGTCAACGTTAACCATTGCATCTGTTATAACTGCCCCACGATATACTGAACAAGTCAACGGTAACCATTGCATCCGTTATAACTGCCCCACGATACACTGAACAAGTTAACGGTAACCATTGAACCGTTATAACTGCCCCACGATACACTGAACAAGTCAACGGTAACCATTGCATCCGTTATAACTGCCACGTAGAGTCCCACTCAAGCGTATTTTGGACATGAAGTATTCTCCTTACTATATAGAAGATGAGGCATCAAACATTCACAATTCCTGTATTGTTAACATTTCTTTTGTAATGTTACGGTCCCGTGCGTCGGGAGTTTTCATTGGTCGAATTTTCTTGTTTTCTTTTTTCATTTCTATTTTCAGACATTTTAATCTCGAACAACTACGATTTTGAAAATGCAAGTCAACATGTGATTTTTATGGAATATTTCTAGTGAAAATGGTAATTCTACATTTTAACTTGCTGGTACTCATTGCCTTAATACAAATTATACCAAAAAAAATTTCTTGTTGATGAAAAAATAGTAAGTGTATGGTAAGTTCGGTTACTGTACGTTGGAAACTTTAAAAAAAAACCCACCTCTTTTTGTAAGGATAATTTCCGTTACTCGTTAGTGATATTAGGACATCACCTACTGTACTGTCATAAAGTTTATAATTCACAGCTATTTTGTATCAAGGAAAACTGTTTTAAATAACTTCTTTCTGGAGAAATTCGACGGTCGTCAACATGACCTAATGTAGGATTTCACCCTTGAAAAGATATGA